CCCCCCCTTCCTGCCGGCCCCTCACCCGGTTCTGCCCGCAGCCTGGCCGGTCCTGCTGTTTTTTCACGGAGGATACTGGCAGAGCGGCAGGTGAGGGGGCATCTGGGCGATTGGGGGGCCACGTCTGGTCGCCCCTTTCCAGGGCTGATGTGACAAGCGTCGCGCCTGGGGGCATCAGGGAGCTCACAGGGTGAAGCGGGCCGTCCCCCCCGCTGGGGCCCTGCGGGAGGCTGGCACTCCTGGGGGCTCCCTGTGGCCCCGGCACCCAGTCTCAGCCTCCTGCCCCTTGGGCCGCGTCTACGTGTGACAGTGTGCCCGCCGCCAGCGCCCCCCCGTGCCCAGTCTCCACCCGCTCTGGCCCTGGCCCTGCCGTGCCCCCGCCATCCCCGACTGCGCTGCCCATGGGTGGTCATCTCGTTGTGAGCTGCTCGGTTGCGTTCTGCGCCTTCATGCGCAAGGCCGCCCGCGGCCCGGTCCCCTCTGTCCGTCCGTTCTCAAAGGACAAGGTTTCACCTTTGCTCGAGGTTGAGTGGGTTCCACTGGGAAAATCACATGTGCCCATGTGTGTGCGTGCCACACAGCGTGTCTTGTCCACTGCTTGTCCAAGAGTGGACAGCTGTCTGTCGTGGCGCTGTGACACCGCCGTGGGCATAGAGGGCACCTGTCTTTTCAAATTAGTGCTTCCCTGGGCAGCGGCGCCTGCGTGGGGCCGCTGGAGCAGCTGTCGCTCTGCTCCCACTTTCTGGAAAAGTCTTCATGCTGCTGCCCAGAGGCCGGCCCCCACTGCCCCGGCGCCCAGAGGGCCTCTCCCTCGACCGCCCCCACGCGCGGTCCGTGCTGCCCGCAGCCTCCTCCAGGGGCCAGGTGGCCTGTGGCTTGGGTTTGCGTCTCCCTGGCGCCAGCGTCTGGGCCGTGGCCGGGCCACCTGGGTGTCTGCCCGGGAAGGGCCTGTCCCCGGCCTCCCAGCGGGTGTCGAGATTTATTTGTGGTTGAGTTGTATCATTTTTTTTTTAAAGATTTATTTATTTGTGCAAACAGAACTGGGGTACAGGCCAGAAGCTCAGGGGTGGCGAGAGGCTTCACCAGAGACAGAGTGGGAAGCAGAACAGGCAGATCAACGAAGTACACTGCTGAGGGGAGCAGCGGGCGGGTCAGGAGAGGTCTGCCATGCCATATGGTCACCTCCGGGGCAGGCGGGAATCGAACTCATGAGGAAGTGGCTTTAGCTTCTCAGTGCTGTGCTTTAACCTGCTGCGCCACCAGGGAGGGCCATACAATTTTTAAAAAGATTTATTTGTTTATGAATACAGAGCTGGGGTACATGCTAGAGGTGCAGGGGCAGTGAGAGGATTCACCAGAGACAGAGTGGGGAGCAGAACAGGTCAACTGAAGAAGTGCACTGCTGAGGGGAGCAGCGGGCGGGTCAGGAGAGGTCTGCCACATCATGTGGTCACCTCCGGGGTAGGCGGGAATCGAACTCATGCGGAAGTGGCTTTAGCTTCTTAGTGCAGTGCTTTAACCCGCTGCGCCACCAGGGAGGGCCGAGTTGTATCATTTTTTAATAGTTTATTTTTACACCACTTGGTGCCTTTTCCCATCCCAGTTGTCATCCCCGTGGGCTTCCCATCACCAGATCACCCTGTGCCATCACCACAGTGCAGTGCACTCCCCCATTTTTGACCCCATCCCCGACTCCACCCCTATAAAATGTCTCTGGTGTAGAGCTACTACTACTTTTCACTCCTGCTATGAGTGAAACCATCCGGCATTTTCCTTTCCTTTCTGGCTTATGTCACTAAGCATGATCCCTTCCAGCTCCATCCATGTTGCTGCAAGAGGCGCGTGTTTATCTTTTTGACGGCAGAGTAATATCCCCCCGTGTCTATGGACCACATCTTTTTAATCCGGTCATCCACTTTTAGGCGTTTGGGCTGTTTCCATGTCTTTCCTACTGTAAATAGAGCAGCAGTAAACTTGGGGGTGCAGGTGTCTTTTTGAATCAGTGTCTTTGTGTCTTTTGGGAAGATGAGTTGTATCGTTGTCTAAGTGCATGTTGGACCTGAATCCCCGGTCGGTGGCTTGCCTCCCCCCCCGGTGGCCCCCCCTTTCCGTGGTGGTTTTCTCCGCGGTGCAGACACCGTTTAGTTGCTGTGGTCACACTTGTTGGCTTTGCTCCTGTCTGTCCTGCCGGAGGGGCAGACCCCCGAGGAATCTGAAGATTATTACGTACATTTGACAAGTGCACTGCACACTATTCTATATCTGCCATTTTTAACTGCCCTAAAACATGTATAGATGTAAATTACATACATATGCAATAGTTGTATGCCATAAAATTCCTCTCAAACCATCTCTTAAGACTATATATGCACACAGAACTGGGGTGCAGGCCAGAGGCGCAAGGGTAAGAGGACTCCCCAGAGACAGAGCGGGGAGCAGAACAGGCAGGTCCACTGATACCCACTGCTGAGGGGAGCAGCAGGGAGACAGGAGAGGTCTGCTGACCCCTGTGGTCACTCCTTGCCCGGGGATTGAACTCGTGCAGTGGCTGTGTCCAGCTTCGTCACCCTGCACTCCAACCATGGCGCCACCGGGGACGTCCCCTAACCCATCCGTAAAGATGCTGCTCAGCCCTTTCCCCGGCTGGCAGCCCCTCAGTGCCTGTAGCTGCTGTAAAAGCCGACAACCGCCTTTCCTGGTGGCACAGCGGGTTGGAGCACCACACTGAAGCCAAGCCAAGCCGCGGCCACTTAGTGCAAGTTCAGTCCCTGCCCCAGAGGTGACCCCCAGGGCGCAGCAGACCCCTCCTGCTCCCCGCTGCTCCCCTCAGCACTGTACTTTACTCCATCTGCCCGTTCTGCTCCCCACTCTGTTTCTGCTGGATCCTCTCGCTGCCCCCACACCTCTGGCCTGCACCCAGTTCTGTGTGCATAAATAAATAAAATCTTAAAAAAAAAAAAAGCCAAGAACCAGCCAAGAGGAGGTTGCGGCCTGTGCTGGCTGCCGTGGGCCCACCGGCCTCCCACGCCCGCCCCGGCTGTCTCTGTGAGGGCGGCCCCCGTCTCTCACAACATCACCATCATTGGTCAGGCCACCTGCGAAGTGCAGGTGACCACATCTCAGCTGCATAGACGCAATTCCAAAAAAGGCGCCTCCCCGGACTGGGCTGGGATCGGGGCATGTGGGGGGCGGTACCAGTGCACCCGATTGGTTTGCTCTCGGCTCAAGACAAAGCCGCAGGGGCCGCCCCGCGCAGTTGCTCAGAGCTCAGGGCTCCCCAGGGCACGGGCCTTCGGTCACAAGGTCCTGGGCAATCGGGGCAGCTGGCCACCCTGAGAGAGGCAGAGGGCGCCTGGGATTCCAGGGCGCGCTTGCTCCTGCTCCGGTCCAGAGGGCCGCCTGCGGGAGCCTCGGCCACCCTTCGAGCCTGCTCACTCTCTGCGAAGGAACATTTCCGTACCTTTACCTGCCCGGTCAGTGCTCCCGCTGTCCGTGCCCGGGAACAGCATCCCACACGATGACCTTAGGTCTCTACTATCGGCCAGAAGCCACACTCAGTGGCGTAAGCCGGCCGAGGCCCCACAGCAGCGCCGGTCAGGAGGGCGGCTCCGGGCGGGCGGGCGGCGTCCAGGGCAGCAGCGGCTCCCAGCGCGGCCCTCCCAGCGTCCTGCCTCTCTCTGCAGTAAAGACCAGTCTGCCTTCATGGTCCTCCCGCTCACGGCTCGGGGCGCGGCCGTGGTGATAGTGGGCTACGACGTGGCCCCCAAAGGTAAGGAGCGTGGTCTGATGGGCTCAAGGGCCGTGGGCGTTGGGGCGAGGGGCCCAGGGCCCTGACCGCCTGGCCATGCCCCCGCAGGCACCCTGGACCTGATGGTGGACCAGGCGGCCCGGAGCATCGTCTTCATCCAGAAGCGGTTCCCGTCCAATAGGTGGGCGCTGCTGCCCCCGGGCCCCGTGTGAGGCATAGGTGGGAGGGCGGAGCACCGGGGCCCTTAGACGTGGCCAGTGTCTCCACTGGCCTGTGGCGTCCAGGTGTCTAGGGACTCCCCGGTCCGGCCTGATGCTTTGGGGGAGACCAAATGCAAACGCAGCTCTCTGTTCTGATCCATCCAGGGGTGTTTACCTGTGTGGACACTCGGCTGGGGCCCACCTGGTCTCCATGACGCTCCTGGCTGACTGGACCAAGCATGGGGTCACCCCCAACCTCAAAGGTTTCTGTGGGAACCACAGCCTCCCCTGTCTCCGTGGGTTTGCAGCAGGTGTTAGAAATCTGAGCAACTTCTGGTGCGGCCGGCCGGGAGCAGGGAGCCGGTTCCTGTGTTCTCTTCGGCCCTGGAGGCCGGCACGCCACCTGGCTCCTGCCTGCAGGGGGTGGGCGGGGCCCCACAGCCTGCTCTTCCCCATCCAGGCCTGTTCCTGATGAGCGGGGTCTATGACCTGGAGCCCCTCCTGCACACCCCTGAGAACGATGCTCTTGGAATGACCCTGTGAGTCCGCTCCCCACCCCCAGGAGGCCGGGGCAGGGCTGGCGGCAGCCCTGACCCTCCGGCCCCACACCAGGGAGGACGCTCAGAGGCACAGCCCACAGCGGCTTCTGGAGGAGTCCCCGCGGCAGGCCAGGGACCCAGCGCTCCGCATACTGGTCACCGTGGGCCAGCACGACTCCCCCGAGTTCCGCCGGCAGTCCAGGGAGTTCTGTCAGGTAGCCCAGCTCGGCTTTGGGCCAGAGGTGGGGCGCTGGGTCTTGTGATCCGCCGCTCCATTTCATCCAGGGGACGCCACGAGTGTGCCTTTGAAAGGCGAGTTTCTTTATGGAGAATCCCAAGTGGGTACAGGTCCAGGCACGCTCAGGAGGCCGCCTCGCCCGCCGCCTCACCTGCCCGCTCAGGAGGCCGCCTCGCCCGCCGCCTCACCTGCCCGCTCAGGAGGCCGCCTCGCCCGCCGCCTCACCTGCCCGCTCAGGAGGCCGCCTCGCCCGCCGCCTCACCTGCCCGCTCAGGAGGCCGCCTCGCCCGCCGCCTCACCTGCCCCGCCCCCACCAGGTGCTGCACCAGAAGGGCTGGAGCAACCTCTCGTTCGCGGAGATCCAGGACGTGGATCACTTTGAAACCATTTGGAGCCTCACGCAGCAGGACCACGTGCTCACCCAGGTGGGTGTCCCCTCCCTGCTCCTGCCTGCGCTTGCCGCAGTTTCAGGTGGAGAATCCTTTTAAGGTCGAGGGCAGGCCTCCCTGGTGCCCCGAGATGACCCCCAGGGTGCAGCAGACCTCTGCTGTCCTGCGGCTGCTGCGCTCTGGCCTGTACCCCAGTTCTGTAGGCATACATAAATCTCTAAAAATAAATAAAAGTCAAAGGGTAAATTGAATTTTTTCTGGGGAAAGTGGGTCCTTGATTAGTTTTGTTTTTCATCAGCTGCCACTTGGGGGGCCTTTTCCAGCATTCAGTCTTTTTTTTTTAAAGATGTATTTGTGCATACAGAACTGGGGTACAGGCCAGAGGCTCAGGGGCGGCGAGAGGCTTCACCAGAGACAGAGCGGGGAGCAGAACAGGCAGATCGACGAAGTACACTGCTGAGGGGAGCAGCGGGCGGGTCAGGAGAGGTCTGCCACACCCTGTGGTCAGATTTATTTGTGCATACAGAACTGGGGTACAGGCCAGAGGCTCAGGGGCGGCAAGAGGCTTCACCAGAGACAGAGTGGGTAATAGAACAGGCAGATCGATGAAGTACACTGCTGAGGGGAGCAGCGGGCGGGTCCGGAGAGGTCTGCCACGCCATGTGGTCACCTCCGGGGCAGGCGGGGGTAGAACTCATGCGGAAGCGGCTTTAGCTTCTCAGTGCTGTGCTGTGACCCGCTGCGCCACCAGCGAGGGCCCATAAAGATGTATTTTTTTATGCACATAGAGCTGGGGTACAGGTCAGAGGTGCAGGCACGGTGAGAACATTCACCAGAGACAGATTGGGGAGCAGAGCAGGCAGATTGAGGAAGTCCACTGCTGAGGGGAGTGGCAGGCGGGTCAGGCGAGGTCTGCCGGGCCCTGTGGTCACTCCCTGGCTGGGGATTGGACTCAGGCTGACGTGGCTGTGGCCAGCTGGATAGCGCTGGCTTCAACCTGTTCCGCCGCCAGGGAGGACCCTGGCACGCAGCCTTAATTCACCTGGTCGTATCCCTACTACAGAAAGAGCTCACTCAACAATGAGGTCTTATTTTTCTTTGAGAACAGAAACAAATCGAAAACATGGGCAGAGTAAGAGAGAATCTAAAAAGGAACAGAAATAGCCAGCAGGCACGGGGGACTCAGCTGTATTAGTAACCGTGTGAATGAATGTGACGGTGCCTCCGGCCAGACAGTGCCTCCTGGCAAGGGCGGGAGGGGTGAGCCAGCTGGCAGCAGTCTGGGGAGCACAGTCTGGCTGACATTTCAGATCCAAATCGCCTGACCCAGCACACCTGCTGGTTGGCACGTGTCTTTCAGGAAATCAAAGAAGCACCCTGAGATGGTCTTTGCAGCTTTACTAATGACAAGACCTTGGGAGCACCCTGAATGCCCAAGGCGGTTAAGTGATGGTAGGACCAAGTAACAGAAGGAAGTTCGTGGAAGTTCGCTAGGAGATGTGCGGCTCAGCTCAGAGCAGACCCCCCGGGCTGCTGACTGGACGGCCTGTTTCCGAGGCGGCCAGCTGGGCACTTAGAGCCTGGAAGCTGGGCACTCTGTGCCAGGAAGTTTCCAAATAGTAGCCAGTGTGTTTTTAAAACCCGTGTCCACCGCGTTTTACTATGACCATAACTGGGGAGAAAAACACTCACCCACACATGCCATCTCTTGAAATACCCAAGAAGTCAATACTTTAGGTTTTGGGGGGGCATATGACTCTACACAGCTGGCCACAGCTCCCCAACTCTGTTGTGTAGTGTAAAACTCATCTTAGACAATTTATGAGTGAAAGAACGTGGCTGCGTGCCAATGGGTGCTCAAGTTAGTATTTTTTCAAGATTGATTTATTTGTGCACACAGAACTGGGGCACAGGCCAGAGGCGCAGGGCGTGAGAGGCTTCACCAGAGACAGAGCGGGGAGCAGAACAGGCAGATGATGAAGGGAGCAGCGGGAGGGCCAGGAGAGGTCTGCCGCGCCCTGTGGTCCCCTCCGGGGCGGGGATCGGGCTCGCGCTGAAGCGGCTGCGGCTCATTTGCAGTGCTGCGTCCTAACCCGTTGTGCCACCAGGGAGGGCCCTGAAATTAGTATTTGATATCAGTTTTACATGTCACAAAATAATACTTTTGATTTTTTCTTTTAAAAAACTTGATTTGCAATTTTTTTCTTGAGCTACTGTTGGCTTTCAGCACTGTATATGTGTCTAAAAGATTTACTGATGCACACAAGAACAGGGGTACAGGCCAGAGGTACAGAGGTGAGAGGACTCCCCAGAGACAGAGTGGGGAGCAGAACAGCAGAGCCACTGAAACACTGCTGAGGGGAGCAGCGGGGAGACAGGAGAGGTCTGCTGCGCCCTGTGGGTCACTCGCTGGCTGGGGGTGGACTCAGGCCGCAGTGACTGTGGACAGCTTCATGGTGCTGAGACTCACCCCTGCGCCCCCACGGAGGCCGTGGGCACATGTTATAAGTACCTGCATCCACACCCCCAGATGGTGCTTCTACTGCACCCCCAACATCCAAGCCCCGTAACCCTCCGCCCCCCGCCCCCCCCGACCCCGCCTTCCATCCCAGGGACCTCAGTCCCGCCATCAGATTTCAGGGTTCTTTTTTAGTTTTGCTTTGTTTGTTCCTTTGCTTTGTGTCTTTGCGTTCCCCGTGCGCGGCTCCGTCACAGGCCACCGGCGCTGGGGTGGCGAGAAGCGGGCGGCCAGGGCGGCCCTGCGGCTCCGAGCGGTGCTGGGACGTGCCCACAAGCCGGCGTCTGGAGCCCAGTCTGCCTCAGCTTGCGGCCTGTCCCCTCACAGGGCCTCTGAGCGCTGGGCCTGCTCGTCTTTTCTTCCTGTGCAGATGATTTTGGACACAATCTTCCAGGGGTGTTGATGGCACGGGCCCCGGCGGCGGCACCCTGACTGAGCGGCTCCCCGCCCCAGCCCCAGCCGCGGGCCGCTTCTGCCCGGAGCCCACACCGTGGCGGCACGCCCACCCCACGCTGCCGCCTCTGTCCCCCGGGAAGAAGCCTCAGTGACAGCAGAAACAGGACGTAGCTGAACTTGGGCACAGCGGTGGGCGCTCTCAGGAGGACCCCTCCTGCGCCACAGGGGCTCTCCTGGCAGGTCACGCTACCAATTCAAGGCGCTGGGGCAGGCGGCGCCTGCTGGGTGCTCACGAGGGCCCTGCCTGCGCCTGCTGTCGGCGGGCGTGGAGGGGCGCAGAGACCACGTCTCCCCGGGGTAGGTGGAGTTGGCTTTGTCTGGGTTCTTCCCCTCTTTCTGAGCTTTCCGGATAAAAATGTAATGAGTGTCTAAATGTGATGCGAGCTGTTGAAATGTTCAAAGCCCTTTCAGGGTGCAGGCCAAGGAGAGTGATGTCGTCGAATCCACTCTAGATTTTGCGGGGGGACTTGCAAGTGGGCTTCGCTGTCCCCCGCGATGGCGCCCCCTCCCCCGCTGAGGGTGGCCCCTCGGGTTATGAAAAAGAGGGCAGACGTGCCGCCTGCTGTGTGATGCACTTGAAGGGACTCGGGGCCCCCAGGGGGTGACCTGTAGCCACGGAGACCTAAAGACTGGACACAGGCAGGTGGGAAGGACTCACCAGGTCCCTGAACCCCACAGGGGGATGGTGGCAAGTTGAGGTTCACTCCGGCTGAGGGTAACACCCACCTGTTGCCAGAACCCAAGGGCTCATCTACATCCACACACATTGTCACAAACAGCACAATCCCATCTTCTTGGTGGCTGAGTCATAGCTACTCGTCCGCCCAGGTGGGCACTCGGTCGTAGACTACCGATATCATTGGTAAAGAACTGATGTCAGCACAGTTGATCTATACGTTCAGCGTCTGTTACACACCTTAATTTAAAAGCCCCCGTATCTTGGGCAGAATGTGTCTGATGGAAGAGTTTCACTTGGGGAAGATGACATGGTGGTGCTAAGACAGCGGTGTGCTGATGTCACTGAGCCGTACACTTGAAGGTGGTTTAGATGGACGATTTAATCACGCATGTTTTAACACAACGCAGAGAATAGTAGAACAAAATATGTACTGAAGAGAGCGACTTAGGAAAAACGCAGACGCTTCAAATACTTCAGCTTAATGCCTTTTTGTTACCGCAGACAGAAGCCAAATGTTGACGTTTCTGTGACCGTACGCTGTAATGTCTGCTAGGTAGTATGTCTCGGCAAGGCGATAAAGCCTGGCCTTGCAGGTGGGAATAACACACTCACACAGGTCACCACGGATCTTAACCACCTTATGGAAAAGACCCAAGCAGCTCAAGTTTCCAGGGGAGAACGGATCCCAGACTCACAGAGATACATGGCTCGTGCCCTGAGTGTGTGCGCGGGGCCCGTGTTGGCTACAGTACATTCATAATAGCAAAAACCAGGGAGTCACTTTCGAGAAACTCGGCAGGTAATCCCCGACCGGTATTAGGAAAGGTGGTGGAACCTCTGTGCTACCTGAGATGTGCTCTTGTTACATAGTGGAACGAGGATCCTCCCAGGACCCCCAAACCCGCCTGCTGAAAATAAGTTCCCCGTGCGGGCCACATCGAGACGAAACATACCCTGGAGTGTGGAGGCGCAGGTCAGCCGCCCGCCCGCCCGCCCTCCTCAGCCACGTCTGTCTCGAGGTCTCTCCGCGCCCCCAGGCCCTGCACCGGGGAGCCAGCGCGGCTCCCTGCATCTCTGCTGCAACTCCGGCTGCTCCTCCCGTCCCCTCCCACCTCCTTTCCAGCGTCCCCTCCCTGCCCGGCTCCGTCCTTGGGTGGGCAGGGCGCACTGCACTCTCCCATGCCAGGATATCATCAGTAATCGTCTCTGCATTTTGCTCAGCTGAACAATGCTGGGAGACACAAGCAGATAAGAAAGGGAAACCGATAGTGTCGCCATGGGGACCCGCTGGGCGCGTGACCACTGTGGGGCCGTGAGAGTCGTGGGGATGCGAAACAGTGGCAGGCCAGACAGGACACTCCTGTGCGGAAGGCCCCCGACCTGAGGTCCCTGCAGACAGCGGGGCAGAGACCGACTCCCCAGTCATGAAAAAGCCCACAGAGCCCACAGAGCCAGGCACAGGAGAGAGCGAGTCCCTCCCGCTCAGCCGCGCTCTCCTGGCTACTCAGCCCTCTGTCCTCCTGGGCGTCTGGCAAATTCCTCCACGCCCACGTCTGCCTGGGGCCTGGGGCCTCACGGGAACAGGCCTCGCATCTGGGGGCCGGGGAGGAGGCGGCCAGAGCTGGCGGTTGGGGGAAAGACCGATGGTCACTTTTGTGCTTTTACGGTGCTGATGGGTCCTGTTCGAGAGGACGGACGTACTGGGAGGCCCCGTGGCCTGGGAGGTAATGGCCAGCCGTAATGGTTTCAGAGCTTAAATCCATTTTCTTTGCTTCACAGTATTGATCAGAATTTGCTGCCTGTGGGGCCCTAGCCCTGCCGTTCTGGGGCTACTGTGTGAACTCTGGTGCCCAGAGTTCCTGCCGGTCAGTCACGTGTGGGGCCAGGGGGGGCTCTCGCCAGGGCAAGTCCGGGGTGAGGGGCAGACCGGAGGCCGGTGTGTGCTGACACAGCCCGCGAGCTAGAATGGAGATGACGTGCTTGACGGGGCGGGCGGGGCCCCTGGGCCCCGCCCTAGCTGACACCCCCCAAAAGATAAAGAGCTCCCCCTGGCTCCTCCATACTTGCCGGCTCCGAACCTCGCTCTAATCTGACGGAGACTGGGGTGGGGGGGCCGGTGAGGCCGGGGCCGGGGTGTCCGTGCGCCGCGCTGGGGCTCGGGGCTCCCCACTTAGACCCCGCTTTTTCTCGCGCGCCGGCCTGCTCTGAAAATCCAGGGAGCGCACCAAGATGCAGCTTTGCCGCTGTGAGAATGAGTGGCTGGCCTTCGTCCCGCCGGCTGGCCGGGCCCCCCGCAGTCTCCCCAGTCTCCCCGTTCCCGTGACAAGAGCATCTTTTGTTCTCATGGGGCCGCGCATCCATGCCCCTGGCCGGCTCTGGCCGGTCCAGGGTGCAGGCAGAAGGGGCGAGGCCACAGAGCGGCTGAAAGTTAACTGGGGAACTAGGGGATCCCCCAGGGACGGCCCCCAGGGGGCGCGCTCAGCCCCACCTGCCCGCCCTTGTAGGTGCCTGCCCGCCGGCGGGTCGGACCGCGACAGCTGCCCTAAGCTGTAACTGGCAGTAGTGGGCTTTACCGTCGGGGGAGGTTGGCTCCGCCTAGCAACAGCTCCGCCAATGAGAAGCACCGCCGCCCGGCCAATGAGGAGTCGCCACCACCTGCCCTCCTCCAATGAGCTGGGGCAGCACAGCTCCGCCCCTTCCCTTTTCCTATATAAATAGCTCCTCTGCGGGTCCCGGTTTGTGGGCGTCCTGGTCCTTTCTGTGCCACCTGCAGTTCTTCTGGCTGCTGGAACAAACTCGTTTTGCCGGTAATGTAGATTAATACTTGTTTTTGAGAAGGCGCATTTTTATTTATGCTTTGGCTTAAATACAGACCGAGCAACTGGTTTCTTATTTACCAGTTAAATGGAACACATTGGAGTCAAAGGTCAAACCAGACATTCATTCCCCACCAACAGGCCCCTTTCCAGTACCCTTGTGCCAGGGAGGTCACAGACCTGCCTGGGGGACTAAGGGGCTGGACGTTTCCATAGTGCGACTCACCCCAGATGAAACTCCCCTAGGAAATATCAAAAGATTTGTGAATTACAATTTTGCGGAGATTCCTTGTCCTAAATGTCTTAGGAAATCACTACACTGCACACAAGGCATTTAACTTGGGGCCAGGCAGCCATCTAGACCCCTTTCTCAGGGTCTGGGACCCCAACCTGGCGTCTGGCCGTACAACAAGGGCCGTGGTCAGTGACTGAGCTCAGAGGTTGTTATTCTTCAAGGACTGTACTACACTAAAGCAACAGCAACACCCAAGCATGACTCTGGCCTCCACCAGCTGGCTGTTTTATGTTTATGCATGCAAGAACTGGGGTGCAGGTCAGCGGCACAAGAGCTGGGGTGCAGGTCATGGGCTTTACCATCGGAGGTGAGAGAGAAAAGGCAGATGGACTGAAATCCACTGTTGAGGGGGACAGCAGGGAGACAGGAGGGGTCTGCTGTGCCATGTGGGTCCCTCCCTGGCCGAGGACCTCACTCGTGCTGCAGGGACTGCCGACAGCTTCACAGTGCTGAGACTTAACCCCTTGAGCCACCACAGAGGCCCTAGATGGCTATCTTTGATCGAACGCTGACAAAGCTGAGCTGTGATCAGAACCTTAGCTCCAGTCATCAGCCTCCAGTGGGGGAGGGCTGGGGCTGCAGCTAACACCATGGTCACGATTTAACCAGCCACACCTGTGAAACCACCTCAACCCAGTAAAGGAGGAAGTTGGGAGGGCTTGGGGCTGGCGAACTTGTGGGGGAACTGGAGGTGGTGCGCCCAGGGAGGGACAGAGCGCAGCTCCCACTCCCAGGCCTGTTTATAGAGTCTGCTGTGGACTTAAGCTGTTACAGGGCAGGGAGAGGGGCACCTACCACCCCCAAACCTGCCCACTCTAAATAGGTCTCCTGCCATTTGCCACATTAGACAAACATACACTAGTGTGTAAGACTTTAATGGAAAAGAACTTTAATACAATTTGTGTGCATCAAAGGAAAACAATCCAGCTTCCAAATCAAGCCCCCGAAGTTACCTTTCCCTTATGGGTAAGTGTCCAGCCAAACATGTGTGGCCCAAATCAGGGCCACCGGGGCCCGAAAGCCTGCCCCCGCCCAGGACACCTCCTGGTGGGGACCCACAGGAAAGGGGCAGCAGGGGCCCAGCACATGTGGGACAGAGGATCAAACTCCAATAAAAGCTGCCACAGTCAGCCGCCCCACGGGCCTCTCACCCACTTCTGTTTCAGCCCATGCAGGACCAAGGAGCTGGCGCAGCTTCTTCACATCTCTCTGCTCCATGTGCCCCCTCGGGTCTCTTCTGGATCGCCACCCCCCCCCTCATTTCCTCTCCAGGTTCTCTTCGTCCCTGCTCATGGTCCTGCCCCCCCTTTTCTGGGGACCACACTGTTACAAAACAAAAACTTGTTTTTCACCTTCTGGGGGATCCCCAGTGGGAGGTGGACAGGCCTGGTATTGAGTCTACATCTATGCCCTGTGAGGTCTGTGGGCAACACGCTGCATGGTCCTCAGTTTCCTCATTTGTTAAACTGGAAAGTGGCAACGCAACACAGATAAAAGACGAGGATCATTACTATGACCTGCTAAAACGGGTAAGAGCAAGAGAAATGACCCAGTAGCTAAGGATGCCAAAACACAGTCGCAAAAACTTGAGTCTAGAGCTGAGAAGGAAACTGACCAGCAGGGGGCAGTGGGCTCTGCTGTAGCTTCGCGAAGGAACTGGACACCAGGTGTCAGAGTTTAGAGGCACCTTCCACCTAGTAATTCACTCTCAGAAATCTAGCACGTGAATGCAAAAGTACCAGGACATAAGGAGCTTCATGCCCAGGGCCTACTGTAGGCAAATGACGTGTGATGGCCGGAGCCCCCAAGCGAGGGGGCAGACGGCTCACCCAAAGGGGCTGGCGCTCAGGCAGGAGGCTGCGCACACTTGAAGCTCCGCTGCTTTGGTGACCCACTTAGAGCTCCCACTGTTGAGCCCAGGATGGCTAATTCCTTGGGAAAGGGGAGAACCCTGCTCCAAGGACCATGTCTGGACTTTCACGAGGCTTCAGTAAAAAACACTGATAAAAGAAGAGACAAGTTAATAGCTTCACTGGGTGAGGGTGGAGGCTTAGCTGTGGCTTTCATCTGTAACATCTTTTCGCGACAGTGCGGGCCCTCCAACCGGATGTGCTGGGCCAGCATGCCAACCTGGCCGGCCCAGGGCAGGGGAAGCTGGCGTTTGGGGGGTTCAAAGCGCGGAGCGTCTGCAAAAACGAGAGCTTGCAAGCTGACGGGGCTCAATACGTAAGTGCTCCGACAGGGCCCACTCCTGAACCCATCACGGGGCTTCAATCCATCCTCAGCTCCCCTTGCACCCACTCTTCAAAGGCAGTCAGAATAGCGCTGGGTGTAGGAAGGGGCGCGCGCCCTCCAAGGGCACCGGCAACAGAGCAGCAGAGCCCCGAGCGGCGAGAGGACTACAACTCCCAGCACGCCCCGCGCCGCCGGCGGCGCATTCCTGTGAGGTCACGGCGGCGCCTCCAGGACGGGCGTTCCCGACAAGCCCCGCGCGACAACCGCGGCTTTTGAATCGCTGCGGCGGACGCGGCGGCGGGATGGGCGCCCTGTCGTTGCCCGCAGCTTGGCAGCTCTACCTCAAGAACCACCGCATCGCCACCTTCACCAACTGGCCCTTCTTGGAGGACTGCGCCTGCACCCCGGAGCGGGTAAGACCACGGCGTCTGCCGGGCCCGGGACGAGCCGCTCCCCCAGCCCCCAGCCCCCAGCCCCGAGCTCCGGCCCCTGTGGGCCTCGGGCCCAGAGACCCCTCCCGAGCTCCGGCCCCAGAGACCCCTCCCGAGCTCCGGCCCCAGAGGCCCCTCCCGAGCTCCGGCCCCAGAGGCCCCTCCCGAGCTCCGGCCCCAGAGGCCCCTCCCGAGCTCCGG